AATTTTTCAGACCTTTTTTTATGAACTCTTGGCATGAAAACAAACTGAGGTTTCTACCAATATTTCATGATTTTTCATGTTCAACGCTATTGTTATTTCAAAATAAAGGTCTAAACACGCATTATGAGTCTGAAAATAGTATAGCCTAGCCTACTTGTTGCAAATTATTAAATTGTTATTTGTATTGAGAATAAGACATCAAATCTGAAATTTATAGATTGTAAGCTTTCAAATGATTTATAATTTGTCAATATTACTTAGGTTTGGATTAAGATATTGTTTTAAATGTATATAGCCTAGGCCTAAATGGTAAACGTCGCACCAGTGACAGTTAAGTAGATTCGTGGGTTTTTTTAAAACATGGAAACGGTATTTCTAGGGTAAAATTGTAATCTTGTTACTGTATGTTATTAATTTAAAAATAGTAAGGATGAAAACCTTGCTACATTTATAATCGATTCTGCAGTGTCTCAGTCCTTTCTTTGCATAAACCATTTTCACTTTTCTGGCTTTCTCAGAAGCGGAAGTCGTCATAGTTGGGTAAACTTAGATATCAGCAAAGAACATATTGACTCTTTAATATCAGTGAATGAGAGACTACATTAAATATATATTGTTTGTTTTCCCATTTGCTCAAATAGCAAAAGAAAAACTCCACCATAGTGTTTTCATAACTTTCTAAAAGAGGGAAAAAAATAGAGAGAGATTGATAACGAAGTGAGAAAGATGTCAACTTCACCATCACTCCCACAGCCGCTGTATTAGAAACACCTTCACAGCAGCGTTAGCTAGCTAGCAAGTTTCTTAATTTGTTACAATGGTAATATAATACAAAGTATAGTGTTATAAATGTACGTTTAAAAAAAAATGAAAATATAAAAACCTTTGCAGGATTTACGATGCTGATGACCTTTAAAAAACGCGTCATCAGTCACAGTTTGTGATTTTGAAAAACGGCTGCGCGAGCTATAACGACTAAAAAAAGATGACTTGCGCTCTGAGATAAAAAATTGCCATTTGTTTTCATTCGCTTCGGCTTTTCTCAGCCCACAGGCCGCGATCATCAGAGAGCAATGTCGAGGCGTCTGCAGTTTGCTTCTGCTCCTCATTGAGTGCACCACAAGGCCCTTTATCAACAATATCTCCGCTGAGGGGCGAGGCGGCTGCATAACTCATCCTTACTGTATTAATGATGGGCCAGTTGTGACTCCACGATACTTTGGCCAGTGTTACGCATACCGGCACAAATCATCACGGTGTCAGTTCTCAAGGGCATCGGGTACTTTGAGAGCTAACCATATCACCACAGCATTCATGAAAAGAGCGTTCACAAGGTTTGTGGTGTTTTTTAAATTATTATTTATTATGTGAGGGAACAAACTAGTTTTGGTATGTTTATATTATCCCCCCCTCCATTAATCCATAGTCCCCTCCTTTTCATTCTTTCCATTGCTTTCTTTTACACATTTCTTCCTCATTTTCTCATCTTTCTCTCTTCCTGTCCTCTTCCAGACGCATGTCCAATAGGACAGAATAATATTTGGACAGGTGTTCCTTTTTAAACACGTTATCCACAAGTCCAAGTACGCAGGGGACCGCACTACATAGCCTAATTCCTGCGCCGTTTCTTTAAGAAGATGGATCTGAGGTTAAAATATACAGTACTGGCTGAGTCATACACAGCCTGCTATACTGTAATCTATAGAGCACTACATCCGTAATCCCTGACAATAAAAATCTGTTTAGCACCAATTTTCCTTTATTTTTTAAACGTTCTTTTTTCCTGTTTCAAACAACTGCAAAACGCCACATCTGGAAGACAGATGTGCGTCCCACAGCAAGCTCTCTCTCTCTCTCTCTCTCTCTCTCTGCTTAGAAACATGAGAGCAGGCTTGTGTCTCTCTCTCTCCCTGGGCGGACCACCCACATAAGGAAACGCCTTGCTGTACTGAAGGCAGAAATACAGGGATGGTTTTTTTGATGGATGGGTTTAGCAGACTATCACTTATGTCAATGTCAAAAACATAAAGCTGCTCTCACAAAAGAGGGCGAGAGAGAGACGTCTTTGCATCTGTCTGTCTGACGTCTTTCTGCAGTGGCATAAAAGCCTTTTCACTGCGCGTGGCTTCTGAACTGTTAAAAGACTAGTCTGTGGATGGACTGATTGGGTTTCTCGTAGGTCTTCTTTCTTTTTTTTTTGTAAAGAGACAACCTTTCTGTTTAAACGGATAAATCCCATACAGAAGACATGTAGCAGACAATAGATGTACAGTACATGGATATGTGAAAGGTTAGCAGTTTTGGGACACATAAGCAGCACTTAGATGTGTATATGTATTCATATTATATAACAAAACATGACATTAAACTACATTTATTTTGAAGAATGATATGGCACATTTTTAGTCAACTTTTTTTATAATAAAGTCTGTAAGGTTATATAGGCCTAAATAATAAAACAATATATATATATATATATATATATATATATATATATATATATATATATATATATATATATATATATATATTAGGGCTGTGCAAAGATTAATTGCGATTAATCACATCCAAAATAAAAGTTTGTGTTTACATAATATATGTGTGTGTGCTGTGTATAATTATTTTGTATATATAAATACATATGCATGCATGTATATATTTAAGAATTATTTGCACGTAAATACTGTATATATATAAATACATAATCTATATTATATATAAATATAAATATTTTATATATATCACATTTTCTTAAATAAATACATGCATGTGTGTGTGTATTTATATATACAAAATAATTATACACAGCACACACAAATATATTATGTAAACACAAACTTTTATTTTGGATGCGATTAATCGCAATTAATCTTTGCACAGCCCTAATATATACACATGTACAAAATAAAGAGTATTTGGACACTTTCTGGTTGTTAAACATTAGTGATCATATAGCTAATGTTATGAACTACTGTGTGATTTTGAGGAGAACTGATTTACATCCACTAAAAATCACCACAACAAAGCGGATTAAGTCATTGAGTAACAGTTGTGAAGAAAAGTCTAAAAGTGTCCAAATACTTTTTTGGTGCCACTAAGTATTGTCATATGTCCAAATATGCTACTTATTATATTTAAATAGCCTATTAAATAAGTACTTTTAAATTTAGCCTATACTTACAGTATATTTAAAATAAATAATAAAATATATTTTAAAATATCAAGAAAATACAACGTTTTTTTTTAACTGTTATGGAAATATAAAAAAATGGCAATTTAATTAAGTAAGGTATAATCCACAGCTAACTGTAAATGAAATGACTTTATGCATGACATGGAGCGCAATATTTGACCAGAAGGCTAAAATTTACGGTTATTTTCATCAGTTACAGCTTGTTAGATCTAGCATTCTGCCCGCTTTGAATCAGACACATAGATAAAGTAGTGCATAACATTACATTTATTTGAATTAATGAATTATAGCATTTATTTGAATTCATTTTCGAGAGAGAGATGCTTGTGTATTATCTGCATCTGTTCAGCATCTCTCTCGATCAACAACAAAGCTGTGAGTTTAATAATAAAAAAAAACAGCGAAGTTACCCCCTGGTTGCTGAGAAATATAATGTAGCAATTCAGTAGCGAATCAATTTTATTATTAAGTCGCAGGGCGGCGCTGATCCTGAATGTTTCTGTGTGCGCAGCGCGATCTCCAAGTGATGAATGCATATGTGTGCTTCAATGAAAGCAGCTCATTAATATAGAACGGTGATTAAACTGACTGGAACTACCTGTGCATTAAACAGCTTTATTGCACACCTTCCAGCCAATCAGAATCCAGTATTCAGACAGACCATGGTGTAATCACAAATAAATATTGGATATGTGTGCGCATGGGATTTCATATTTGAAATATTATTTCTTAACTCCAAACGAATGACTGAAACCTGTAATCGGAGACTCTAAATGTGCGTATAAATAAAACACGCAAATTAGTCACACCATCACTGATTGTATCCATTATGCCGTTTTATTTTCATACTCCAGAACAGCTGCAGAAATATTTGAACTGCAAACCAATTAAGTGACAAAATTGCACATTAAAACCGCTTATATGAGGAGCGTTATTAATTTATGATCTGTCTCAAAGTGTGTAGCATGCATTTGTTCCATAGCAGCTGATTAGTGCAGCAGTGACCTAATAAAAACACTTATGCACCTAGATCCAGAGATGTTTGCAGTCTGTAAACAAATTCGGACTTTATAGTGCGCTTCGTGTTCAGTCCTCACTTCAAAGAAAGCACTTCAGGATTAGTAGTGATGCAGTGAGTTTATAAAGTGTGGAATAAAGCTTTTTGGTGACAGTGTTAAGACCGTAATCTTCACTCCATTACTCTACAGAGCTCCGAAACAGATGCTTTTTAAACTCATCCAGCTTTAGTGCAAAATAAAGGGTGCACACAATAAGAGAAGTGAATCTCAAAGACACATCTAAACCCTTCTCTTCGTTCACCATTTAGTCTTGCTTTTGGACTCTTTAAGCACTGTTTGGTAACACTTTATAGTATTTTTCAATGAATAGCATTAACAAACATTATTGCATATGCCAGCCAAGTTAATGTACTTTCATAGCTGGACATCCCTTGCATCTTTCCATATTTTTATTAGATTTTTTTATTTATGCTTGTCTTACAATTTATATATTGAATTTTGTGCATTTATATATTCATTGGATTTTTATAAAAAAGAAAAAATCCTACAGATACACAAATCATTTATTTTATATAGACTGAAAATCTGTAAATCGGTCTAAAATGAACATTTAAGGATTTTGAAAATTAAACCGTTAAAAGGTCAAATTAATTTTAAAAAGTAATATTCTGCACTATTTCTGCATCAGAAATGACAAGCAACCGCATGACCCTAAAACTTTGAACTTCATGTTCATTTTTCAATTCAACTTTTCACTCAAATTGTTTAGTTGTAATGGGGAAAAAAAGCATTTCATAGTGTTCATTACCCAATTCTATATTCACATTGGAATGTATAATCTGATCTGTTTTTTGATGTTTCATGATAATGAAAAATACAATAAGCTGTTACCAAATTCAAGTGCTCAATTGGTTTTTCGTTTCCGTCTACCCATCTCCGTTGCCACAGAGCCCACCGTTGCTCCCATGGCCCCTCCTAAGGGCCCCCCGACGAACAACCCCACGAACGACCCCAGTAAAGTACTGCCCCTCACCATATTCGGGAGCCACAGAAGCCACCCGACCACGCTGTCCCACAACCGGCGTAAGAATGAGGAGTCAGGCGTGGAGACGCAGAGGTCTGCGATTCCCTCAACCACCAGATCGTCCACACTTCTCTCTGCTTCGGCCCTTATTCCCTCCGAATCGTCTTCCACTCCTTCTCTTCTGCTTCTCAAGATCTCCTCCTCCTTCTCTTTCACTCTCCTCTCTGCCTCCTTCAAGAGAGGGCAGGTGTAGAATTGCGTCCCGCTTTCTTTGGCCATCTGCTCCACCTTTATCAGCAGCTCCTCCAGCTCCTTCTCTTCTGCGTTCGCTCCTGCCCGCAGCGGGTGATGTCGATCCCCGCACTTCTGTACGAGCTCCAGTAAGTCGACCCGTTCTGTGCTGAGATACTCATCCAGTGAAACTTCCTCGGGCAGGCGGTCCATGCGAGTGAAGAGCACCATTGCATGTTTACTAACTGCTTCAGGACCAAACACCTTCTCGATGGTCTCCAAAATCTGGAGCTCCAGGTTGCTGGGCCGGTGAACAGGGACACAGAGCAGGAAAGCGTGGGGCCCCGGGGCCGATAAAGCCGCGCAGAGTGAAAACTGGCGGCGGACGTCCTCAGTGGGACCCTCGATGCACAGGCAGTCAGGTGTGTCCACGACAGACACCTGCAAGGAAGAAAACTGAGTCTTAGAAACAGGACCTTTCAATAAGCATAAAAGAACACTATGTGGATACAGTCAAAAAAGAATAGCAGAGTCCACACCACAACTATAACGATAACGACATCAAGAAACAATATCGTTGGGATCCCTTTCAGAACCATTTTTTCCAGCTGATAAATGATAAAAACATTGACAGCCAATCAAAATCCATCCTGACTTCATAGGTGACTATAGGCTACTTCATGTTAAGCATAAATATAAAGCCTACTGATAAAGACACTGTCAGCACTATTGACAGCAAAATAGACTACACAATATTTCGTTCTGTATTGACAGGTGCAATATTTGAAAATTGATATTTATTTATTTATTTATAAATTATATTTTTATCTAAATTTGTCAAAACCTAGACTTTCAACCATCAAAATGTAATTTATTAATATGTATTCGTGTACAAAATAAAAATATCACATCTTTTCCTATTCTATTTTGCCTGGAAACGCTTCAAACACGCTTTTGGTTCTTCGTTCTATATCTAGCATGCACGCGCTTTTGTCGCGGGTGGGGGGGGGTCGTTACTGAAGGCCCTGACTGACTGAAACCCCACGGTACGCTACTGGGTGAAATTAACATGAACTAAGATTAATAAATTGTTAGTTCATGTTAACTAATGTATAATAATGTAAGTGTACATTTTTATTTTTTTTATTTGTTTCTCATGATCTTTTTGAGTCAAAGGTTTAATGGTACAAAGGTTTTATATTTGTAGACAAATATAGATTGTGCTAACATATGAATTTATTTACTAAACATCCAAAAAAATTAACTAAATGTAATTAAATTTCCCAGGTGGCATCTCAATTTTTAAAACTATTGGTTTTATAATTGCACTTTTCTAAAAACAAACAAACAAAAAGGCAGTTAAAATTTGCTATTTGTAAAATGTGTATGATAACTGTTACGGTTTATGATGTGCATACTGTATATAAATGTGAACAAACAAAAATATTACACATAGACATGTTATGAAATGTTTTTGATATCCTAGTCACATAATAGGAAATCACATACTTGCCTTGATGCAACTTTATTTCTATGATATGACATTTTTTAAAAACTACATGTGCAGGACTGAATAATCAGGTGGCCCCTCGTAGAGTTTTAGGAGAGACATGAACCCACCTGTCGTCCTGCCAGCGTGCCGCGTCTCTTCTGACAGGCAGTGACTGGAGTCTCAGGGCCAGGACAGTCGGACTCAGATGTCGGGCCGCCCAGGATGGCATCGACCGCAGTGCTTTTCCCTTTACCCGCTGAGCCCAGCAGCACCAGTCTCAACTCTAGAACCACAGACAGAAACAGACAAACTGAGTTATTATAGACAGAGTTACAAAGAAACCACTGTCCTCTAAATAATAACTCACGATAATACTAGGAAATGTTTCAGTTGACTTATTTAGATTTTAGTTGTACTCTTGAATAAATAATGCGAGGGAAATGGGACCATGATCCCCTGTCGTGTTAGTGGTTATGCAATATCTCATCTATAAAATTAATACATTTAATTACTGCAAATTCCACCACAATACTGGCATATTAAATCGTTTGTAATTTATCATTGCATGCCAAATTCATTTTTACACTTTTTTTTTAGTCCACATTTGCTACTATTTACAGCATTTTGCTGTAGTGTTTGATTTTAAAATCTTCTTATTCAATATTTGAAAATTATCCCTGAATACAGAATGTATCTTCACACTATCTAATAATACCAGCTGGATTTTTGTTATGTAGGCCTATAAGAAAATCTGAACAACATAGTCAGTTTATTTAAAGTTAATTTAAAGCCTTGTACTGTTATTCTTTTTTATTTTTTATCAAGGTCAGTTAGTGGTGTGAAAAATTATTACAAATCTGGTTTTAGCAAAGCAACAAGCATGAATTGTTTATATATAATAAAGTGAAAGACAATATTGTTAGCATCACATCAATTTTGATGCAATACCGCCACCTAAAGACTGAACTGATACATAACACATGATAGCCTACGAAACATCCGTAATGCAACTTAAAAGGATAGTTCAACCAAAAATTAACATTCTGTCATCATTTGCTCACCCTCATGTTGTTCCAAACCTGTATGAGTTTCTTTCTGTATGATATATTTTGAAAAATGTTGGTAACCAGACAGTTGACGGACGGTAGTCATTGACTTCCATATATAGGAAAAAATACTATGGAAGTCAAAATACTATGGAAGTCAGTGGCTACCGCCACTGTCGTACAGGTTTGGAACAACATAAGGGAAATGACGGAATTTTCATTGTTGGGTGAACTCTCCCTTTAAACGGCAAAATTGGATTTACTAAAGGTTGTGAAAATTAAACATTGTGGCTGTGTTATGGTTACACCCGTTTCAAATGACAAATGAAGCTCTGTTGTTGTTCTCATGCGAGTGCTTTTTATTTTTAGTAAGGCTGTTTTCTGAAAAGTATCTTCTAAAAAATGGTTTCCTTTTTACTTTGGGGGACGGTGAAGAACATACTGTAAGTTGCTATTAGCAAGAGAGAAATAAACATGTTCGTCTCAGTTTCAAGCATGTAAGAAAGAAACAATTAAAAGGACAAAATGATGACGTCATGTCATATTAAGTGTGGGACAACTGAAAAGCACTTTCAGTATCAGTTTACTTGATGCATTTATTATGGTATTTGCTCGCACTGCAAAAAAAAAGAAAGAATGCAACCTAAATTTTGTAACCTTGTTTTGTTTCAAGCCAAAAATATAATTTACCTAAGTGGCAAACTAAAGGGGCCACATTAGTCACTTTTTACAGTGATACTTCAAAAACACCATGGTAGGCAGACTAGGCACAAAAGCAAGGTATTAGGCTGGTACCACGTCCACAAAAACCTTGGTGATTTGTTTTAGTAAATCAGATAAAAACATTATACCAAACCTCGTTCCTTTGGATCTGTCCACCCTCCTTCACTGCTTCCTGATGTTTCCTTCTCCTCCTGGTGCATTTCATCTTGTGTTGTAGTTCCCTCCATAGTCTGCACATTGAAAGGACACAACAGAACATAATGTATTGTTTGTGCAGTATAGACTATGAATTGCCATCTAATGGGAAAATGGAGGACATCATTCCATTCGTATGACTCAGCAGAGAGGGACTGCCAGAAAAAATGCACATTTCACTTACCTCAGCTGCAGTAAAGCACTTTTCAAACTGCCTCATTTCAACTGACAGCTTACAAACAAGCCAAAACGTAAGTGTTCAGCTTCCACTGAAAGTGTGGTGTCTGCTTTTGATTATGTGAAAGCTGATAAATAAAACATGCTTGAAAAGCTTACCTTCAACTGAGAAATTGATCTATTGTGTGTGTAGCTTGAGCTTAAGAGCTGGCCTGCTCTGTGTTCCTCTGCACTTCCTGTTTCTCCTCCTGCTGTTCAGCCAAAACACTGCTGTGGCTCTGCCCGAACATGTGATGCTTCCTCCTCCTCCTCCTATGTCTATGAAACACACCTCTTTTGCAGAGACTTCTAAAAGGTGTGTCAATAAATGCTGTTTTCATGAACGTGTTAGATAAATGGCTAGTTTGCAGCATTTTTATGGTCTGAAACCACAAACAGGAAGTTGAGCACTCTTCCTCAGTTCACTTACTTAATACTTCAGACATGTGCATGCCATGCTCCTAGTTTTCCCTGTTTAGCTTCCGTCGTGTCATTTCACAGGGTTATTAAATCTTGTGGTAACAAATGGTTCTTGGGAAAGTGGCAGGACAGGAATTTCTGGGTTGAAAAGGCTAAATATGAACGTATCAAGTAACAATAACTCCATTTGTGTTCTAGTAACACATCATGCAACGTATGTGCATAAATACAATAATGTGTTATATTGTAATAAACTGCCAAAGAACTAAGAAATGTTCCAACTAACAGAAGAAAAACAGTTAAATGTTTGAACTTTTAGTTGTTTTTTTAAATGGACCCCAGCATTTATTTGGACATGTAGCCTAAGTCACATGCATGCATGTATTTACATTATAGAACAAAAATATCAAAACAAGCTGCATTTATTCATAAGAAAAATAGCACAAGCTCACTTGTCATTCAGGGTTAAAATGATAAAACAGTGGATATACTGTTTCAAAATGAATACAAAATATAGTTATGAAGTGGGGGATAGTTTACCCAAAAACGAAAAATCTGTCATCAGTTACGATGATCATACATCATTATGACTTTCTTTGTTCTGCAGTCTGCAGAACATAAACGATATTTTGTAGAATTTTGGTAACTAAGCGGTTTCAGTTCCTATTGATTTCCATTGTAATTTTTGTCCATATATTTGAAGTCAATGGGAACAGTTTGGTAACCAGCATTCGTCAAAATATATTGTATGTTCTGCATAAAAAGGAATCTCATACATGTTTGGAACAACATGAGGCTGATTAAATGATGACAGAATTGTAATTTTTTTGGTAAACTATCCCTTTTATGGAAAATGATCATAGGTAATGTGATGAACTACACAAATGTAGTTACTCTTGAAGTTTAAAATCTGATACAATCTAATACACTGAAATTCAGAAGTCTGGAAACATTAATGTTTTTGAAAGTAGTCTCTTAATCTCACTGAGGCTGCATTTATTTGATCAAAAATACTGTACAAAATTAATAATGTGAAATATTATTACAATTTAAATGAACTTGTTTCTTTTATAATATATTTTCGATTGTAACTGTGATTACAAAGCTGAATTTTCAGGGGGGGGGGGTTTACAGTATTTTTGATTAAATAAATGCAGTCATGGTGAGATTAAGAGAAGAAAAAAACTTTAATGTTTCCAAACTTTTGACTGGCACAGTACGTCCAAATATTTTTTTGGAGGCCAACGTATGTGACACATCAGGAAAATTCATTTATAAAAATATTTTATAACAACAAACCCACTTTAGATCTTTGAGATTTAATGGAAATAAGTCAATGCAAAATGCACATATATCAATGCAAATATATTTTACTTATTTTTCCATCTTCTAAAACTACCAACAATCACTTGTTTAAAATGATCACTTTAAAGGTGAACTAAATTGTTGGTGCATCAAGTAATTATTTTATGGCAACTGATACCCATCAAGTTGGACACCGCATCAAGCAACACTTCAGTTGATGCTACTGTAAAATATTCACAGGCATATTTGATTAAGTTATTCAGAAACCGAAAGTGAGCTATAATTGGCAGGTTAGCAAGATGCGATAAGTATTCATCTGATCATCTGATTTCAAAATGAAGGCTACCATGCAGTGGGACCCACTGATATGACTGGGGTCTTCATGTCATGTAAGTGTACATTATTATAAAAATATTTGCGAAATGAGCTATGGTTTCTTAAGGTATTAAACATTTCTAAAAGGAAAAAAAATACTTAGTGCACCTTTAAAATGATTTTATACATGCTTGTCCTGTAAACGTGCCAAACCTTGAAAACTACAGGGGTTGGACAATGAAACTGAAACACTGGCCAATATAGTGTTGGAGGTTGCATGTCTGTATATGCGAGGCCTGGTGGCCAATCTTCACTGATTGCACATTCCATCAGTAAGAGCAGAGTGAAGGTTGAATTAGCAGAGCAATAGCACAGCTGTACATAAAATATTGCAAAACACACCACATAATGTGAGATATCAAGAGTTCAAAAGAGGCAGATTGTTGGTGCGCGTCTTGCTGCCTCATCTAATGTTGGTTTTAATGGTGCAGGCAGAGAAAATCTTGGGCTGTGGACAATGTGAAGAGTTACGGTGTGGAGAAGCTTAACAGCCGGACTGTTGCTGCCCAGAGTGAAGAACGGGGTGGATCAGGGTCAGTGACGGTTTGGGCTGCGATATCATGGCATTCCCTACTGTGCTTGATGGACGCATCACTGACAAGGACTGCCGAAACATTCTGGAGGACCGTGTGCACCAAATGCTTCAAACACTGTACCCTGAAGGGGCTGCCGTGTATCAGCATAATAATGCACCTACAAATACAGCAAGACTTGTGACAGAATGGTTTGATGAACATGAAAGTAAAGTTGAACATCTCCAATGGCCTGCACAGTCACCAGATCTAAATATTTTGAGCCACTTTGGGGAATTTTGGAGGAGAAAGTCAGAAAACGTTTTCATCCAGCAATATCACATTTTGACCTGGCCACTGTTCTGGAAGAGGAATGGCTCAAAATCCCTCTGGCCACTGTGAAGGACTTGTGTCTGTCATTCCTAAGATGAACTGATGCTGTATTAGCTGCAAAAGGAGGCCCTACACCACAATAATAATTAAGAAAGTTTCACTTTCATCTTCCAACCCCAGTATATTATTACAACATTCACATTACAAAAATACAATATGTAAGACATGAAATGATGATAGCGCAGTTAAACTGCAGTTGATATAAATTAAGTCAATGTTAAATTAGAAAAAAACAACATTGGGCCATAAAACTAAACTGCACATATTTGTATAAAACATAAAAAGCATGTGAATTTGATCACATATACTCACAAACACATCTTTAAACAGACCTTGACATTTTGAGATGCCAACACAAACACAAAAGGGAAACTTCAAAAGTGTCCTCTAAAATAGGATATTTTTTTCTTTCTAACAACAATAAAAAAATGACTGACATTTTTCTAAAAATTGTATTTAAAATGTTTGAGATTAAGAATGTCCATTGATCAGAAAAAGTTAAAAAACCCTCTCTGGTCCTCCGTTTGGCGCTTCTAGGAATATGTCCAAATGTAACCCAGTCTCTTGTAAGTGCCTTTTAAGAGATTCATAGTCCAGGCATTATGTAAGCGATGTTGTCCAAAGTGTTTGACTGCAACAAAAAAAAAAATAGGTGAGTTTCAGGAGAAGAGTTGCAATCATAAACTGTGCATTTGAATCGCAAATGAGAAGCTTTTGTAAACATTTTGTAGAAAACAAGTGAGTTGTTGGGGAGCCCATAATAAAAAACTGCAATGTGTGAAAGTGTGTCTCACCAGGACGTTGCGTGGACAGCCGTTGAGCTGGGGAACTTGTGCTGTCAGGCAGGTTAATGGACCAAGAGCACATAAAATAGAGTCCAACAGAACCGAAAGACTGCCAGACACCGCCACCATCCCCTGCAGGACGAACAGAGACGTTTATGAAGATGATCGACACTGATGAGACAAAACATTATGAACACCTGCCTAATATGAATGTTAGTCCTCCTTGTGTTGCCAAACCAGCACCGGCCCACAGAGGCATGGACTGTACAAGACCCCTGAAGGTGTCCTGTGGTATTTGACACCAAGACCTTAGCAGCAGGTCCTTCAAGTCCTGTAGGTCGTGAGGTGGGTCAAACTGGTTGGTCCAGAACATCTTACAGATTATCCTGCTGAAAGAGCCACTTCCACCAGGGAACACCAGTGTCATGAAGGGGTGTACCTGGTCTGCTACAATGTTTAGGTAGGTAACACGTGTCAAATTTACGTCCACATGAATGGCCGAACAATTCCCAGAGCATCACTTTCTCCACCGGCTTATCGTCGTCCCACAGTGCATCACTTCCCCATCACGGCCGTCCACGTGATGTAAAAGAAAACGGGACTCATTGGACCAGGCGAACTTCTTCCACTGCTTTTAAGGTCCAGTTCAGACACATTGTAGGCACTTTTGCTGGTGGACGGGTATGCAAGTAAAATAATGACAAATGTTTTTGAAACAAAAAATACGCATTGCATTAACCCTGCTTGCATTTTAATGCATTGTATTTTTAGGGCTTGAAATTGTTATGGGCTGAAATTCAACATGGTTGTATATTTAAGCTGAGAATATTTAAATAAATAAAAATTCACACACGTCTTCATTATTTAAAAAATAAAAATCCATATTCACCTTTCAGAATTCACTTCCAAAATATTCATTCTGTTTAAAAATACAACCTATAATATTCGACAGGCATTTTTTTTCGGTCCATTTTATTTCGCTTTACAAATTCAGTGGTTAAAATTCGACAGAAAACTCAACATTTGACATCCGGGAACGGCAGGCATATCAGTAGATTGCCGATTGATAATCTCCATAGCTGTTAGTCGGCCTCACCAGCAGGAGGTGCAAGCGGCTGTTGACGAAGAAAACTATAGAGCAACGGGCGAGAGAGTCATTCATTCATAAAAACGGATTAACAGAAATGGAGCAAGTGGTAAGTATTTGTGATGATTATCAGGACCAGTTTATATATGGAAAAGCTGATAAAGACACAAAAAGCTGTGTTTACATTTAAGTATTCACAGTTAGTTTTGCACATGTAAGCAGCTTTCTCTACCGTGAATAAGATTATAGCAGAGCTGTTATTCCCCGATGCTGATGTACAGATAAAACGTTAAATCTGAGGAAGTAGACATATATTTCTCTCGGTTGTTTAGTCTTCTTAACTTTATATTGCGGTGCTGTGCTGCAAACTGGGGATTTCATTCTCCAGGATTCCCCTGGTCAGGACACTCAAAGGGTTAGTTCACCCAAAAATGAAAATGATGTCATTAATGTCATTAAAGCAGCGTCACTGCGGACTCGCGAACGCGTATCGACAACAGAACCGGAAGACAATACAATGCTGAAAAAAGTCGTAGTTTTTGTTATTTTTGGACCAAAATGTATTTTCGATGCTTCAAAAAATTCTAACTAACCCACTGATGTCACATGGACTACTTTGATGATGTTTCTTACCTTTCTGGACAAGGACAGTATATACCGTACATACATTTTCAATGGAGGGACAAAAATCTCTCGGACTAAATCTAAAATATCTTAAACTGTGTTCCGAAGATGAACGGAGGTCTTACGGGCTTGGAACGACATGAGAGTGAGTCATTAATGACATAATTTTTGGGTGAACAAACCCTTAACGCTTAATGGACTAATACAGTGATATAAAAGAACAAACCTGCACCTTATTGGGGATGTATAGGCTATACTAGATAAAGGAACAGACAAACAGACTCAGAATATGAACGTAACGCGCAAAGTTTCACGCTAAGCGATTGTGAAATACTGGCATAAAGTTGGCATGACACTGCATATTCGATTTCGCACCGCAAGTCATTCTCTTCAAATGCTATTGAAGTTAGAAACGTGTGAAAGGTGAATATGGATTATTGAATTTTTAATAATGAAAACGTGTGTGAAATGTTTTTAATTTAAATATTCACAGCTTAAATATGCAACCATGTTGAATTTCAGCCCATAAAAATGCAAGCCCTAAAAATACAATGCATTAAAATGCAAGCAGGGTTAATGCAATGCATATTTTTTCAAGTAGTGCAATTCAACAAGCTTTTTTGTTTCAAAAACATTTGTCATTATTTTACTTCCATAACAGAGGTCATCATCTCTCTGATTGGTCAGTGGCTCATATCTTTATTCCTGCCCATTTCTCCTGCATCCAATACGTTGATTAGGAGAACTGATTGTTTGCTTTCTATCTAATCTAACCAGATCTTAATATGTTCTAGTTAGGAGATGATCAACAATATTCACTTCACTGGTGACTGGTCATAATGTTTTGGCTCATCAGTGTATATGTGGAAAGCCCTCTAAAAGGGACATTTTTGTGACACAAACCTCCGTTTCCTGAAGTCGGTGTCCAATCAGAGACAGCGACTCCCCCAACAGCTGCAGGTGAGCTGCTGCATCTATGGGGTCCACATCAGGCACCCGCACCGGAGACAACGACATACCCAGAGACGAGCGGCCCTGAGGGGCCAATCCTGCTCCTAAACTGACACCTTTGCTGGAGCCTGAGACAAGCAGATACACAGGGATACTAAAGAAAGGGCTCAAGAAATATGTCGATACATGAGAAAAAATGAAATGTGTAAGAGAAAAAGCTTTGGTCTCACTTTTACTTTTACTGTCTGAGGTTGTTAAGGTTTTCCGCTTGACCGTCATAGCTTCAGCTTTATTCTGCTTGTGCTGGAGATATTGAGCTTTCTGTCTCCAAACCTTCAGTGACAGAAAGAGAGGATATGCAACACTGTCCCACATTTGACTGAAATTACAGAACGCTGCCATTAAGTGTTTAAAGCCAACATAAAACAACCCAGTTATTTCCTTCAGATCGTGTCAAGATGTGACAAATTACTTGCTACTTTCAGTTTTGTTATTGTTAACTAAAACTATTAAAAATGGTTTTCGGTAATTGAAATAAAGCTGAAATAAAATATAAAAATTAGATGAAAAATATTGCCTGTATTGCTAAATGTTTTGAAATGCTGCCTGGACAACTAACTGAAATAAATAAGTTTAAGCTGATGTACTAAAATTAATTAAAATAAAATAAGTTTGATAAAATAAATTAAAGCTAAATGTTAATAAAAAAAAAAAAGACAAAAGCACATACAATTACTAAAACTTAAAATAAAAACAATTTTCATCCAAAAATCTAAAAATAAGCTAATTAAAAATATTAATAGCATATAAATAATACTAAAATTACTCTGGCCTCTTTATGAGCATTAACCAGTATTACATATAAAAAAACATTATAATTTTTCCATTACAATAGCCTAAAACAATGACTAAATGACCATTAGTTAACATTAACCAGTGGAAAAGGAAAGTCATTTGAGAAATGGAGCAAGTTACATTTTGATAAAAGATTCTAAAGACACAATAATACACACAATGCACGAAAATAACAAGTCACTTGAAATCTATAAAGTAAAGGTAAAAGGTGCTGACCAGTTTGTCTTTTTCAGGCAGCTGTTTCCACACCTCTGCGAGTTTCTTACTCAGCTCCCCGAAGACTGAGGTGGAAAAAGAACAAATATTCAACCAATCACGAAACAGCACAGATGATTGACAGATCAGGTGCAGAGAACAACAGCACTCACCTAATCCAGGCTGCTCTGCGTTGATATTGACCCTGTACTCTTTACAGAACACCTGATAGGCTGTCATGTTCTTCTTCTTCGGCTGACAGGATGAATGACAGAACATTCAAATTACTGCAAAAATCAAACCTCAAGGTGTTTACACCGGTGTAGGAAAGAGATTTAATTGACCTTGTCCTTGTCATGTTTCTCTTTCTCCTTTTCCTCCTTCTTCTTCTTCTTCTCACCCATTAGTTCAATGCTTTGATGGTGATGGGATGAGGTGGGTGGAGCCATAGCGTACATGCCACCGGCAGAGCTGTGATTGGATGAGCTGTGAGTATGGGAGTGGCTTCTAGACTGATCAACTGATTAGCAGAGAGAGACACGTTTAAATTCAGTAAAATCAGATTCAGTGTAACCACAGTAAAATGAAAAACAACAATCAATTGGTTTTAGCTTTAAGGCAAGACACAAAAACATTCACTGCATCCGAAATCACAACTGTCTGAGTAGATACTACATTTGAATTTACTTCGCAACCGTTAAAAAAGTCTGAAATTTGGACGTACTACATCTGTATATTATGTATTTGGAAGTACTTCTCTGTTGGCGTACTGCTTTTCGCATACTATATAGTAGGGAAGTATGGGATTTCGGACACAGCGATTGTTTTTCACGCACTGTTACATTTTAGGCTGTCATAGCATGTTTCAGACTGCAAAATATCAATAATACACTTTTAACTGTTTATTTTATTACACGTTATCTATTTGCATCTGAGGATTTTAATTACAATACACATCTTTTAAAGGCCATTTTCTCAAAATGAGTTTTTTCTCAAGCACTGAGCCAGAAATCTCCAGCATTTTAAATATATATATTATATATATAAAAAAATGTCTTGAAGGTTTCCACAGAGGGTTAATATTTTATTTGCCTAAATTTAATCTTAAAAACATGGTGGAAATGTTTTTTTTTCTGGCTGTTGACAGTATTTTCTGATGTATGGAGTGATAAAAAGAAACATCCTAAGTCCCCTCTGTAAAACCTTTTGACTCTAATATGTCAACAAAATGAATATGAAGTTTCTTTGAACCTGGCTTTATCCAGTTCTGGACATTTATGCAAGTTAGGGCAAATTTAATTAACGCATTAATGCTTAGTTCTTTTGGTCCAGACCAAAAACATTTTAATTTTGAGAGCTCAATCATAATTTTGAGAGAAAAAATCATGAAAAGCTTATAAAATGTGTAAAGGAGTCAAAACAGCGGCAGGAATCCCTCCGTCACACACACAAATGCAGCGAGGAGACGTGGTTCTGATGCCTGTACTGAACTCTGATGGGCAACATCGTGACTATGACAAGAAACAACAGGTATGCTTGAGCATTCGGTCCTTTTCAGCGACGCATCTTGTGACATCACGTCCTGTTTTTGGTTTGTTTAGTTGTCTTTGGTCCGTGTTTTGTTGATATTTCATTCGAACCGGACCAAAGTTCGTTTGAAAGCAGACCGAGACACATCTTTTCAGGTCTCAGTCCGTTTGTTTGGTGCGCACCAGGGTTCAGATGGCAGCGTTCACACTTATTCAAATGAACCGCACTATCAGAGCAATCGCACCAGGGTTACTTTTAATCCAACCAAACATGCCAAGTGTGAACACAACATTTCAGAAAACCCGTAATACAAAAAAATCATCGGCCTAATCAACCAACTATATATTAATTCAATGTTTTACCCAATTCACCTGGGGTGTCTTGCCTTAAAGGTAGGGTAGGTAGAAATTTCCAAAAAAACCTTTTTCCAAATTTGTTTATACCGTCTTTATATATCAATGCATAATTAAAATCTAAGTACTCTGGAAAAGAGAGTATAAAAATCGAGTGTCTGTAGTGCTCTCAGGGCTGTAATAAACACAGCTCATTATTTCATTTACTCCCACCCCCTCCCTTCTCGGCTCCTTCCAAAGCCACGCCCCCAAAACACATGAACGCCGCTGCCGACCGGAGAGGAGCGCCGTGCATGTAGTGACATCATGTCAGAATCACAAGTAATAAAATAACTAACTTTATCATTATGAATATAACAACTAACATGGCTGTTAGTACTCACTATCAAGCTCGCATATCGATACTGGTAAAGTTTAAAATATATTGAGTTTGATTCGGTAACAAGCTAGTAAAATAAGGCAAAGCTATAAATAGCTTCATTGATACACGTTTTCCGTTATCATCACTTACACTGATGTAGGTGAATTTCGCGTAAGATTCATAACATATACGGTGTTTTGCATGTAAGAGGTTCCACGATGAAAGCACTGTTGCAGCAGGGGGTAGGAGCCATGGTAGCGAGGGAGATTGACAGTCGCCCCAGCCAATCACTTCATTCGTCCCGGATGGAATAACGAGCTGTGTTTATTACAGCCCTGAGAGCACTACAGACACTCGATGTATAGAATTTCTTTTCCAGAGTACTTAGATTTTAATTATGCATTGATATATAAAGATGGTATAAACAAATTTGGAAAAAAGTTTTTTTTGGAAATTTCTACCTACCCTACCTTTAAAGAAAGTAAAATGTGTCTCACCTGGACAGCTTTTCTTCCCTCCACTTCCTTTGCTGTGTTTCTTCTCCCTGGATCCTTTCTCTCTGTCTCGCTCTCTATCCTTTTTCTTTTTGCTCTTCTTGCTCTTTTTCTTCTTTTTTGAAAGATGTGTGTATGAGTCATCAATCACCAGCTCGCCGGCCTCTAGTTCTCCTCCTGAAGATGAGCTGTCTCCTCCCATGCCTCCGTAATGACCTGATGAATACAAACAGAAAAATGATTGCTTAGTGTCTGTGAGGGTTCCATTTCTTTGTTTTTTAGAGCTTTTGGACAATTGGATGTTGAAAGTTTGTCATTATACAGATAAGTAAAGATTGACCAGTATTGACTTTTTATGACTGATACAGACACAGATTATGTTTCAATATTTGTTTAGGTTTTTGTTTTTTTGACGCAATAATAAATATATAACCAGAATATTATATTTTTTTATATATACTATAATAAAATCTATTACTTTTTTATTTTCTTTAAATAAAAATGACTACTATTGCATTTATTTGATCAATCATACAGTAAAAACACTAATATTGTGAAATATTATTACAATTTAAAATATCGGTTGACTTTGAATATGTTTTAAAATGTAATTTATTCCTGTGATGTCAAAGCTGAATTTTCAGCATCATTACTCCAGTCTTCAGTGTCACATGATCCTTCAGAAATCATTCGAATATGATGATTTGGTGCTCAATAAACATTTTATTATTATTATTATCAATGTTAAAAAGAGTGATAATTTTTTTTTTTCAGGATTCTTTGATTAATAGAAAGTTCAAAATATGTTTTTACTTTCACTTTTGATCAATTTATTGCAATCTTGCTGAATAAAAGAATGTTTCTTTTTTCAAAAACAAATCTTACTGACCCAAAACTTTTAATCAGTAGTGTTTATCTTTGTTTTGTCTACACATTTCTCACTAAAAATAAATGGTTATTATTCAATTATTATTATTATATTAATAAATATAATTTTATTTAATGAAACAATACATTGAATAAGTTACTATACATGTGAATACAGTTATAGGGTGCTTTTCTTTAAAGATCCCCCAATACCATATATCAGTAGACCCGATATAAAAGAACAGATTACTCTGAAAAGTGTAATTCCCCACTCACCCACGACCTCCACCTCTTTCCCCACTACAGGCAACGGCTCTCGGCTGTGCTGCTTTTTCTTGGGTGGCTTCGGCATCATTTTGTCTTTGTCTTTCTCCTTCTTCATCCCTCCTTTCTTCGAGCTGGAGGACGAATGATGGCCTACCACACCCGAAGAGGAAGAAGAATGGACCGGGAAGGAGAATCCCTCGTTCGTCCCGACACCTTCGTTCTTCTCTTTTGAAGAAAGGATGAGCTTCATCTTCAGTCCTTCAGCTTCACAGAGCGTCAGCGGCTCTCCTTTTCCAGCTCCTCCGTGGAACAGCAGTGACTTCGAGGAGGAGGAATGCTTTTTAGACGAGGACGAACCGGGCGGACGCGAGTGCGAGAAGGAGTGGCTGCTCTTAGAGCCGCTGTCCTGTTTGCGGTCTTTGGAGGAGTGCGAGGAGGTGTGGGGAGGGTAGGAGGGTTTTTTGTAGAAGTGCGGGGTGGGGTCCGTGCCCGTGGCCAGCGGGGAGGTAATGGCCTCCAGGAGGCCCATGGCTGTGTCTGTGGAGTGGGACGGGTGAGAGGACGACGAGGAGGAGAGGGAGAGCGAGTGATCTGAAGACTTGCGCTTCTTCTTGTGGGGCGGCTGACCAGAGCTGTGATGGTCTGTGGGGAGAGTTTAGAAACTATTGTTATTTTTGAAGTTCATCAAGTTCATAAGACATCAGTGTTTAAAACTGTCTTCTTAGCTCACCCTGATTCGTAACGTAAGCTTATAAATATGATTTAGAATTTGAGCTATAAGACGCATGCATTTCCATTTCGCTTATCGATTCCTGTGTGCGCATTTTAATATGACTCAAAACCATTCAAGTGCAAGAAGACCCGTGTTCTGTTTTCTCCAAAATGACGTGCGCACAGAAATCCGCCTGCCATACTGAATAGTGTGCGATACTGAACTGAGTTCTCTTCCGCGTCTTTTTGTATTTGAACAAATACACACAAAAAAATATGTCAAAATATCCTCGTAAACATAGTCAGTTATGTCTTAAGTGAACATAAACAGCTGACAAAGAAAACGCAAGGATCTGTGCAGCTCTTAAAGTGACAGCAGCCTAATAATTCCTGGTGCCGTCTTTACAATAACATTAATCAAACAAAAGACAAAGCTGTTCTTGACTGAATAACTTTTGTAACTATATTTGTAATGTATATTTTATTTATAAAGTACAGTGATACTTTACATTTGATTACAGCTTCTGTACCTGAATTTTTTTCTTTTTCTAATTGAAATCGATATTAGGAATCGATAAGAATCGGAATCGTTAAAATTAAAACGATACCCAACCCTATTACTATATGGCGTGTGCCGAGCGAGGATGCAGTTGCTTAGAATTTAAACTTTTTAAGAATTTGCTTTTAATCTAGAAAGGACTAAACCAATCATCGGGGAATCACCTGTTGTCAAAACAACAATCCTTGAAGCACAACCCACGTAAAAAACTAAAATAATAGTAATAACTCCACATTTAATTTGCAATTTTATATTTCAAATAGAGATGGCAAAAGTTCAGCACTGGAGCTTTAAGTATTAGAAAAATTACCAAAAAAAAGTACTAACAGTGATCATAGGCGCTGATCGAGCACCCACAGAAAAACACAAGATATTCTTCATTCATTTTAACCAATCAAAAAATAGATTGAGATTCGGGATCTCTCTGATTGGTGGATCCTACATTGGGTCCCAGCGGGTGGGAAAAGCATGTGCTTTCTGTTTTTGCACAATAATAAATTGAATTCAAAGTAATTAACTCCAAAATCATTAGGTATATCAGCGAGAGTGCGACTCGCAACAAAATTCTTGGAAAGAATATGTGTTTTTGCTTGGTTGGTAATGTATTTGGAGTGCATGTGTTTCTACTCACAAGAGACACCTCGGTACGCAAGTATTCATCAAGTATTAATACGGAAACATAAATCTGCACCTATGGCAGTGATAATAGTAAATTTGTTAATAATTTTATAAAATGATTACAATTTTATACATAGTTAATATATTATATTATAAAACGAAGCTACATATAAAAAGATAATAATATAGAAACAAAAATATAAAATTTTAACCTAATATAAAAATAAAAAAGGAATAAAATTGACTGTTTGAAAACAAATATGCTAACTAAGACTACTGGAATCAATGAACAACATTCAACGTAGTGCACTATTTGCATAGTACACATGAGAAGCCATTAACCGAGTAGCAGTGCATGAAGAATGTTTTAATAATGTTTCTGTAGCAGAGGCTTGATTTCATTTAAAATGCTCCCTTAGAAAGTAACACCCAAGCAAGAAGCTCTGGAACACGTTTAATTTTGGATATGTTGGAACAGAGCTAATGCTGCCTATAAAACAAGACAAAACTCCTCACCTCTGTGATAGTAGTCATCACTCAAGTGCTTCTTTTTTTTCTTGTGAGAATCTCCTCCTAATAGGAAAAGGTCCGAATCCTAAAAAGACAACAGTGCATGTTGAAACAGGCATGATATATACCACAAAGATAATGTTAGTGAGGAAACAATCCACATATGGTTACTGATCTAATACTACAGATACAATGGGAATGCTCCGAGTAGGGATGCTCTGATCAGGGTTTTACAGACAATATAATTACTGATAATTGTGATCTAAATCGGCATGCGGATTCCCAATTATTGAAAGGTACACTATGTAACTTTTGTGGCAATAGTGGTTAAAAGACAAAACTGCATGCATTTTGCTGAAGAACATTGTTTTGGTTGTGGTTCGGCTCTGCGTGACTGTGAGGATGATTTTGATCCTTCACAATAGATAATGCTTTACAATGAACTCTGTTAGAAAACTACATATAGCAATTTATCTGTTCAATAAAATACCTTACTCACCGGTTGAGTAATAAAAACACCATCTTCACATTTATAACATTTCAAATCCCTCAGTTCTCTCCATCTCTGAAAAGCCAAGCCTTTTTACGAGCTCTGTAGAGTTCTGTTTTTGCTGCTGACTTTCCTCTGTTCAGAGTTTTTTTTTTTTTTTAAAGGGTGATTCGCCGGAGTTTGGGGATTTAACTGCTCCATGTTCACCTTTCTCGCTCGTTGTGACAACTAACCTTTCCACTCACACACCATACACACGTCAAAGTAACCGAAGCAACTTCCAGCGAAAACCATCCAGCCTGGTCTAAAATATAAACTTATAATATACTTACCATAGTGAATCAGGGTAAGACAAAACGCATTTTGGAATAAGGATTGATGATGTATTGACTCATTATTTAAATGTTGTTAATTTTGAACAAAAAAGTTCAAACATAGTGTAACTTTAATGAATTTCAAGCAGTATCAAGACACGGTCTTGATACTGCTTTCTTAAAAACTCATATAGAATCCTTGACCACACCTTTAACTAAAGTAATAAATAAATCAATTAATGAAAGTACCTTCCCAGGTGTCTTAAAACTTGCTATTGTGACCCCGGTCTATAAATCTGGTGACAAACAAGAGGTTAGTAATTACCGACCTATTAGCATCCTTCCGGTCATCTCAAAGGTCATTGAAAAGGTTGTATCAGAACAACTAATTGCTCACCTTGACTCTAAGGCCTTTTTACATCCAATGCAATTTGGATTCAGGAAAAAACACTCAACTGAAACAGCCTGCTGCTACTTCCTTGAACAAATTAAAACAAATTTAGATCAAGGTGGTGTGGTGGGAGCAGTCTTTCTTGATTTAAGCAAGGCTTTTGATACGGTTAGTCATGAGATACTATTATGCAAATTGGCACAATACAATCTTGCAATAAACACACAAAACTGGTTCAAATCTTATCTGAGTGGACGACAACAGTGCATGCGGATGAACAATACATTCTCCCCATTGAAAAGATGTACCATGGGGGTCCCGCAAGGGTCAATTTTAGGGCCGCTGCTTTTTAGTATATACATAAATGACCTTCCATTAGTATGTAATGGTATTGATTTAATAATGTATGCAGATGATACTGTGCTGTACACTCATGGGAAAAATGCTACAGAGGTTGCTTTAAAATTAACGAATGTAATGCATAAGGTTGTTGAGTGGTTACATAACTCATGTCTTACTTTGAACACTGAAAAGACGGTAACCATGTTTTTTAAAAATAGATGCAAACTTAGGGAATGTCCTGAGGTCTTTGTGAATGGGCATACTATTAAAAATGTGGACGAATTCAAATATTTGGGCTTAACACTGGACCCAACTCTAACCTTTAAAAAACATGTTAAAAAATTGAGAAATGCACTGAAATTTAATCTTATAAATGTCAGGCATATAAGAAACTCTCTTACCATTGAGGCATCAAATACCTACTTAAGTGCAATGATTGTCCCGCACTTTATGTATTGCATGACAAGTTGGGCTCAAGCAGGAAAGACAAGCTTGAGACCACTTGAATCTTTATATAAAACAGCCCTTAAGATCCATGATAAAAAGACTCGTCAATATCACCACTGCAAAATAATGACTAAGTATAATATTTTAAATTTTGGAAATTTGATAATGCATTCGAATGTCTGTTTACTTTTTAAAATCATTCATAATGCTGTCGCCCCTCCTCTAAAAAAATTTATTGAGCTCAACTCTGAAAAAAAAAGAGCTACTCGGTCCGCCACTAGAGGAGAATGCACTATTCCAAATCGCAAAACCTCGTTTGGCAAATCAGCCTTTTCTTTTGTGGCTATAACTCAGTGGAACACTCTCCCCACACACCTTATTACCTGTACAAATCCTCAAACCTTCTCGAGTTTGACAAAAGCATGGTTATTGTCACAACAAAACTGTACACATCTATGAAATGTGTGTGTGTGTTTGTTTTGTACTGGGAGAGGTAGGGATCTTGATTGTTTAGTTTTGTCGGGGTGGGGTGGGGTTGGTTTTAGGAATGGGGGAAAATTGAGCATATGTTAGTTTTAATTGTAAATTAATTTTATGGTTAGAAAATTGTATATTTTAATGTTTTGTATTATTCTCTGCCAAGGGACTACGGGTGGAAAATAGCACTTGTGCTACAACCTGGCACAATGCATCTCTCTTTGTTTTTTAAACAAGGTTAATGTTAACTTGTGCATTGTCCCTATTTAAATAAAATGAATCTGAATCTGAATTAAACAAAAATATACATTTAAAAAAAAGACATTTTTAAGAGGCTTAATAAAAACAAGTAGGCTTACACAAAATATTATCTATATTAAAATACATAACATTACGCAACTACCACTTTCAAGCCCCAGAAAGGTAGTAAAGGCATCATAAAAGTATCTCCAACGCACGTTCACGAGAGCACCATGACGCATGCGTGTTGTGTTGACGCGAGAGCAGATGTTGTTGCGTGAATGCGTGTTGGAAACTAGTATTTTGAAAATAAAGTGATAAATCATGTTTTTTTGTGCAAAAAAAGCAATCAATTCGCTTACTAAAATTAAGGTTAAACCACTGGAGTCACAGTGGTCATCAATGTCATGATCTCTTCACTACCTTTCTGGGGCTTGAAAGTGGTAGTTGCATAGGCTGTCAATGGAGGGGCAGAAAGCTCTCAGATTTCATTAAAAATACCTTCATTTGTGTTCTGAAGATAAACGAATGTCTTACATGTTTGGAACGACATGATGGTGAGTAATTAATGACATCATTTTTAATTTTGGGTGAACTAACCCTTTAATAAGGGGAAACAGATGCTACTGTTATGGGAGGTTTTTTTTTATATAGATCTGTGAATTGTATCCCACTTTGTAACCAACATTATTATTATTTTACTTACACTTGAGGAAGACTTTTCTCGACACTTTTAATACTATCACGCAGGTGATGACAGGAAGTGACCCTGAGGGCATCACTTTATAGAAATAGAAGGCTTTTTGTCAGTTTATGTGACAAGTTGCGAGTCATAGGAAGTGAGTATCAGCCGAGTGATCGCAGCATCCCTAAGCAAGAGTCAATAGCCCCTTTCACACAGCGCTTTGAACCCGGCAAATTGCCGGCAAATTGCCAGAGTGCCTTCTGTGTGAACGCAAACACGACCCGGGATTGATGCCGGGATCGATGCCGGGTTGGGGACCTAGTAACATTGCCGTGTTCAGACCCGGAACGCGTGCTGTGTGAACAAAAGCCAGAACCAATGCCGTATAAGGGGTGTGTCGTAGTGAGGATTCACGAGCCTTTGCAATGACGTAGTTATCGTGCGGCTCAGTTACTCTAGAAGAAAGTTTGTGTTTGTCATCGATACAAGAAAGAACGAAAAAATGTCTGCAAACTGGACTGAAGTAGAGACCCGTCACATCCAACGTCACGCGTCTTTCCGGAACATACACGGGTTGTGTGTGAACGCGCTCTCTGATTCCGGCAAATCACTGGCTGTGTGAATGAAGCAAAATCAAACGAACCCGGGTCAAATCCCGGGTCACTTTATCCGTGTATTTTCCGGAATCTCTGTGTGAAAGGGGCTAATGACAAGTACCCTGAGAGGGAAAAACACAGGTCCAAATCCTTCTCAGACCAGATGTCATATCTACCTAGGTAACATCACATCAAGCTGCGTGTTTTATTAATATCATTAGAATCTACAAACTGGCAACACAGTTACGGAACATATATACTGGTAACATCAATGGACGGCAATAATTCGTCAACCTCTTGTTAATATGATCCAACTTGATGCTGGATGTTACAGTAACTCCCTGCTGTTACCTTGTGGTGTTTCTTGGAGGTTTTGAGCACCTGCGCTGCGATTTCTTCTTCCTCTCTCAACAGATCTTTATACGAGCGCCTCTTCTCTCTTTGGCTGCGACCAGCAACAAGACCGACCTCTCCTTCCATCCCCGAAATATCTACAAGAAATGCAGTTTCACAGTAGGTTTTCAATGGACATGTTTGAGTGTATTAACATGCTTTTGTCTGACAATCATTACCCATCATTCCTTTCTTCTTTATCTCCTCAAAGGCCATAGTCATTCTTGGTTCTTCAGGTGGGACTGGTCAGTCTCGTGACTCTAATGCACAAAAACAGATTAAAATCATCAAGTTCAGTCCAAAAAACACTCTTGACTAGAACAATGTATTTAAAAAACTATCTTCAAAGACCTTTCCAGCTTAGGTAACTAATAATTCTGTTTCCATTAAACTTGCGCATTGGTATGTACTAGTTATCTGCACTACTTTGTTTGTTTGACCTAAATGTCAAACTGTAGAATTGTTTTGCATGAAATTAGATTTTACATTTTGTATTTTTCTGTTGGTCTTCAGGTTTAGTCAAATACTTGTATTCTTATTTACCACTTTTAGAAATATCTAAGTCTTTCAGCAATAAAAGTGTATACTATGTTTACTACTATTTACAGCACAAAATAAAAATGAATGAACATCAGAGGGTATGTTGAAAAATCCAGTAGGCCTACAATTTACTGAATGTATCATGTCTCATGTAATTGCTCAATCAGTATTTCAACCACGGATAAAACAATGTCACGTAACGTTACATTTACCCCAGAAAAGCCATTCGGTATCCATGAACTGTAATTCAATCGATATCGATACAAACCCCATCCCTAATTCTCACTCCAAGCTGAACTCAAAAGTTGGCAGCCCTGATTATATGCTAAAAGATCGTTAACGCTTTATTTTGATATGTCCAAGTTACTATAGTAAAAGCTATAATTTCATAATGTAACTAACCTTAAACCAAACCCTAATCCTACCCTAACCCTATAGTAAGAACATATTGCTCAGTAATTAAATCATGTATAATTACACTGTAACAGGGACACCTGAAAATAAAGTGTAGATCATTTGATTATGGACTAAAAGCCACAAAAGTTTGCAATTACTATACAAATAAAACGGAATTCAATAATAGGATGCTTAACATATTAAAGATGTAAAACCAAATAAATGAAAGGAACTAATTGCTGGAAAAACTATGGAGAAAAAAACAAAACTCATTAAAAAAACAGTTCTTCGTCTTCTGATTACGATAAAAGGTTTCTTCTAATATAATAATGTTGCATCCAGAAGTGTTAAAAAACTCTGAAGATGAGGTACTGAAAGCACACACACTCATTAGTGACAGATCAGGCTCAGCAACACACATCAGCTTTCCTCCAGCCGCAACTTTAGTCAAGCTTCCAGTGACATTCGCCGGAATCCCAATAACACGAACGAGAAGATCTGCCTCCCTCAACACTCATTATTGCACATTTCCCGCCTACTTTTGAAGAAATGCACTCACACACCCCCTTCCCCTCGCTTCATCAGGATCCAGCGCTTCCCTGTTTCAGCTCAAGTGTATTCGGGCAGCTGCGGACGTGTCGCGCGTCTCTGACGGATCGCCCAGCGCGCGCAGACCCGCGGCTGCGGTGCACATAGGCCGGTATCGGGTTACAACTCGATTAACGGAGCGTTCTCACCATGCAATTTTATGGATTTTTTTCACTACTGCAAAAATGGCACGGAATGCATGCAACTTGTATGCAGAAATCAGAAGTTTAGTGCAAAAATCAGTGAAATATTACCTCGGGTTGGATGTGGGTTTAGTTGGCGCGCGACGCCATCTTTGATGGGAGTCAACAACAAAGCAGCCAAAGATGAGGAGGAGGGACTTTGAGACCAGAGAGTGTATCACAACAATGAAAGCCCTCTTTTTTTACAAACCAAAAAAACTGACAATAAAAGTATGAAATAGCGATATTTACTATATAAAAGCGATATGCAAATTCACAGCTTATACTTTAGGTTTAATATTGTTCGATCATTGCATCAAAGACAGAGTCCACATACACTCTTAACATTATGCAATTTATTTGGCTGTCTTTCAAATAGATGTACAGTAAACAGTGACATAATAGGCTACCATAAAGGCATAACAGAAAGGAATTGTTCCAGGAACAAAAATAAAAGGCAATTCATTGTATTCTCAGTCAAAATTGAATTTAAATAACCGGAATTACACAGTTGTGTTATACATTTAGGCAGTCAAAATTGAATTTAAATAACCGGAATTACAGTTGGGTAATACATGTAGGCATGTCATCATCATATATAAATAGTTTCTCCTATTTTCTAAACAAAAGCCACAGTTGTCCCATCCTCTCACGTCTTCTCTTCCATCCATCTCTACCTGTCTCCTATATTCTGCATCTGAATACTGAGAGACGTGAAGCTGGCCAGTAGGTCCGTCACCTCGTCCACCTGTGGATCACATGAAAGAATTACAACGTCCCAAAGATACAATGATATTAAAGACAGAGAACGGTACTTAAAAGGATTCAGCAGATGCGCTAACCCCATGTATCAGCACCTTATTGGTGTTGATTTTTTTTAAATGTAATGTTTCATAACAATAATATTATTACAAGCTATTTTATAGTATTTTTTCCCTTTTTTTTTTCTTTTCACAAATTAGAATAGTTTTATAACATCACCAGTTTGTCGGCTCAGCATATCGATATAGGCCAGAATTTCATTATCAATGCATTCCTTTAAAAGGGTTCATATGAAGTAGAACCCTCAGAACTGAGCCGCTGACTTCTGAGTACATGCGCTCTATCTTGGATGTGTGTGAGCTGTACCTGCTTTCTGGTGCGGGTGTTCTGCAGCTGGTTTGAGATGTGCTCTAGTTTCTCTCTCTCCTCACTCTGTCCCATTATATTCAGATATTCCCGCAGCATTTGAATGATCTACAGACATATTCAGAGATCATTGGTTCATCTTCCAATACAGCACATATACAAGCATGTACAGTACAACAGGAGCCTAGTATAATATATTATTATATATTATGTACATATTAGAAACCTTAGTCTGGCTCATTAATATTAATTAACATTATGTTTCCCATGTAGTCATTACAATTACATTTATGCATTCGGCAGAAGCTTTTACCCAAAGCGACATTCATAGTAGACAGTAAGACTTCAAGAAGAATCCAAATTAAACCGAAATCGCAATATGGCTTAGTACCATAATCAAACGTGATTTTGTTAAATAAATATATGTGCTGCACAGTGCCAGTCCTCCCTATAGGCAAATTATGCAAGGTGCGTAGGGCCCCCAAACCACCAGGGGGCCCCTTGTTCTCAAAAGTATTCTTTAAGTAGCATATCACTTTATAATGTAAACATATTTTTTATAACATGCAAATGTAAATGCGGATTCAACTTTAGTGGAGGCAAGTGGAAATTAAATTCTAAAAAAGAAAGAAATAAGAATTATTATTATTACTACTATTTCTTCATGGCCATATTGATATATAATAAAACATTTTGACTATATTGTGCATCCCTACAAACAAGCAGAGCAAACCAAGTTATGACAACCACTATTTAAATGTCTTTAACTATTTAAAAAAACTAATTGGAGTACAAACGTTTTGTCATTTTAAATCCTATTATAAAAATGTGTAATTTACAGGTTTGTATACAATAATAATTTTAAGTTTTAAAATTATAGTAATGTGCCAACTGACGGTGCAGTTTACCGCATTAGTTGAAAGACATTTTTTTGTCCCTGAAAAAATTTGCCATGTAATGTTCCCGAATGAATATTTAAATGAATTGAATCGCAAGCTTGTGAATTCGAAATCGCACTGAATCGTAACATTTGTGTCAATACCCGGCCCTAGCATTAAGTATATCAGACATGTGTTAATGACCTGTGTGACCTCTCCTCTGAGGGTTTCTAGACTACGGGAGTCTCCCTCTTGTAAGATGTTGAGCTTTGAACGGGCAAGATGAAGAGGAGTCCTTCCAGCACGGTCCAGAGCATCAACACGGGCACCTGAGGGAACGTTCATAATGAACATTTATTACGAATTTGTTAAGAAATATCAGAAAGATCTCGGATGAATAAGATTTAGATCCATTTGTTTTTCCGTTATAGATAATCAGTCGTACCTCCTCGCAGTAAGGTAGTGATGACAGGCACATGGTTGGTGCAGGCAGCTGTAAAAGGCAAGTTAAGTCACAGTAAGCTTCTTTCTTACAGCTTTGAATATAGATTTTATTATTCATAATGATGCAAATAAATATGTACCAAACAAATGTGCTAATGCACATTCTTACCCAGATGCAGTGGTGTGTTTCCGAGGCTGTCTCTCTGGTTTGGGTCAGCACCATAACTCAGCAACAACTGAACTACATTGTTAAAAGTGGAGATGGAAAGAGAAAATGGAAATTGTTTAAAGAGGACCTATTATGATCTTTTACAAAGTCTTAATTTTGTGTTAGGGGTCCATTAGAATAGATTTTCATCCTTCCATCCACATTCTATACATCGCCTCTCTTTCCAATGTGCTCTGATTGGTCAGCTGGACCAGAGTGTTGTGATTGGTCAATGAGTGTCTTTCAGAAATGCCACGGCCCTTAAAATTACAGTGAGTTTCAACACACTACTAAAGCAACTCAACCAGGTCTCGCCCCTTTATCTTGTGTACGCCTTGGGCGGAAATCATGTAAATGAGGAATATTGTTACGTGTTCGTTCCCGGAAGAAAAATCAAGAGTGCAATTTAGGCATTTCAGGGAGTTCAGAAACAGTTACTAATATAAAGAATGACTCCCATTGGAACGGACCTTGTGCTTTGCAGCGCTTTTTGTTGTTGTTGTTGCTTAACTGCTTTAAAATGGCTTTTTTGTTCACTTTTAGACAGAGCGTTTAAAGAAAATGACAGCAAGACAATATAAATATAATTTTACTCACCTAGCTTATTACTTGAAGGACAAACGTAAATGTTTTAATTTGTAATTGCTGTTCGAACGTTATCTTGGTAAATTTGTTTGTGATCAAATATTAATTATCTTTACTCTCCATAATTAAGGTAGTTGGTACATTACCAGTTTGAACTAATATCAGGTCATTTACGTCTCTGCGAGAGTTGGTTGATATACCAAGGGAGGCTAGCTTCTCTATGGAGAGACTCTCATATTTCATCAAAAAGATTTTCATTTGTGTTTCGAAGATTAACGAAAGTCTTACGGGTTTGGAACGGCATTAGGGTGAGTAAATGATGACATCATTTAAATTTTAGGGTGAACTATCCCTTTAGTATCAATCAGTTTTGTCTGATCTTACCAATACTCTCGTTGCCATTGCAGGAAGAGAAGTGTAAGGCCGTCCTGCCCTTGTCATCAGCAGCACAAGGATCAGTATCATCTTCCAGCAATCTACGAACTAGAAGGGAAAAAAAGGGAACAGACTTTAATTTCACTGTAGATCAAATCTTAGCATCAAGTGTGTCCACTACTGTCACGCTGATGATTCTCACCCGTGTCAATATCATTGGAGTTGGCAGCTTCTCTGAGCCTCTTCACAGCTTGAAGGAGAAAACGATACAGAATTGGTTAACAAAACAGATCATGGTTAAGACAACTGAATATAATAATAAAAACAATCTGTTTTGACGATTAACACGTTCACAAAAATCACACAAATGAGGATTTTAAACACTGAATTATAATAGAGTTAACGTATATAATTAGCTATGGAATTATGGAAAAAAACAAACCACGGAAAATAAAACAGCTTACATATATATATACACACACACATACAGTACCGGTCAAACGTTTGGAAACATTACTATTTTGTTATTACTACGTTTTTGAAAGAGGTCTCTTACGCTCATTAAGCCTGCATTTCTATTTTAAATAAATTCTGTTCTTTTTTAAGTTTTTATTTATCAAAGAATCCTAAAAAAAAGTATCACAGGTTATAAAAAAATATATTAAGCAGCTAAAACTGTTTCCAACATTGAGAATCAAATCGGCATATTAAAAGATGATCTCTGAAGGATAATGTGAGGTGACACTGAAAACTGGAGTAAGGATTCTGAAAATTCAGCTTTCCATCACAAATTAAATTATATTTTAAAGTATATTAAAATAGAAAACCATTATTTTAAATAGTAACAAATATTTCACAATATTCTGCGTTTTTTCTGTATTTTTAAATGCAGCCTTGATGAGCATTCCTGTTCCTTCCTGTTACCTATTTGTGTGGTACAAAATTGTCTAATAATTAACCAACATTTACATATAGGCTATACATATATAGCACCAAGATAAAAATATAGCTTTATTATTAGATAAGATGTAACAATTGTAAAGTGCTATTTTGTGACATTTGCATGCGCACACACACCATACAGGTCTTTTCCAATGGGCCCCATGTTCCTCCGGGCTCTTCCAAGCCGCTTCACTCTGCTCGATGTGATCTTGCCCGGTGAACTCCGTCCCGCCTGTAGCAGTTCACCGGGCTTCCATAACAGGTGCAGATAGCGGAGCTCCGTGTCGGCGGACGGTCGGGTTCGGTTGAGTTTCAGTGCGCTCAGCGTGTCCAGACGCGAGATACTGAACCCGACCGCACCTGCAGCAGCCTCCATCGGCGTCTCACCCTCGCTTCTCTCGGGGTCTCTCAGCGCAGGCCCGTTCGCTACCGTGTACTCGCCCTCCGAACTGGACCGTTCGCCGTCCGAGGCAGCGGCAACAAGTGGGCTCGACACGTCCATATCAATAAGGCGTTTACTCGACTAATGTCAGCATGTACCAATAGAATGTAACTGTATCTGTTGCACAAATTTAACGCAACATTGTCGCACAAGCGCTATTCTTCAAGACTGCATTTCAAGCGAGGTTTTTAAATAAAGAAACATTTTGCGTTCATTGCGATTTAATATTGTGATGTCGAATATGAATCGTTCCGTGTTCTAAAAAGCAGTGAACTGTGAGCCCAATTGAGCCAAAATGGCGCAGTTTCAATGTTTTGCGCTTGTTTTTTAGTAAAACACGCCCGCATTGCTTAGTCTGCATTCATCGTGACCTAGATAGCCAATCAGCATCGAGGTTGTTAAGGAACTGGTCCGTTCAGAGAGAACGTATGGTGGTAGCGTAATGAATACGGACTTGATTTCCATAAAAGGTGATTTCCCAATTATTATATTTTATAAAAACAAAGAATAGGGTTTTGAATTCAGTGGCCTCAAATGCCTTAAAATAATAAGTAATACATATTTAAATAATTAAATGTTTAACGTAAAATATTTAAACTGGAGCAAAATCAGGAATCTTTCATGCCTAGCTCTAATCTAACCGCGATACGTGTTCATAAAAAAATTATTTAGTTTATGTGAAAAAAGCAGCTACTCTATCCTCGAGGATCTATCATTTCAAAAACTAAAGCAGATAGCAGCGTTCGGCCCACCGTCTACATCCTACATTCATGAAACAATAGTCAGAAAATGTGGGATTTTTTTCTTATTACATATTTACTAATATTATGTTTTATTTCAGAACCAATGTTTTAGAATTTGAAAACTACTCTTCTAATATTCCAGTCTTTTCAATAACAAAATGACTACAATAACGCTTTTCTAAACTTGTTTTATTTTTATGATACAATGCAATGTTTATTTTTTTAATTATATATTCTATAATTTAGTTGTAATACTAAGGTAAGCAGAAACACACACCTTTTTGAAATGAATTATTTAGAGATGGGATGTCTTTATTGTAGTTATAAATATATACTTACATGCATGTCAACACATGAAAATACTTGATATAACTCTAACAATAGTATAAAAATATAAGTTATACATTGTACTGCAACACCAAACCCAACACCATAAAACAGTATATAAAGCTAAACTTTAGCTTATAATAACTACGACAAGGTAATACTCATTTCATTGTCATTTAACCGTACGTTTGAACATAGTATGAGCGCGCTGGATGTGGGATGTTTTCTATAAAAATGTAAGTAGATTCCATGAGAAGTGGGAGGTAGATGAACAGATGATTTTGAAAGCAGAACAGATTCAATCTTTGGTACCATTAATGACCCTCAAAGGTCAAAGTTCATAGTTGAAACAACTGTAGCGGCAGCATGTTTCAGGTTTTCAGGAACTGATTCAGGAACATCTCCCTGATGATCTGCCATGAGTCCTGCCTCACGGGCATGTTTCCATAGGTGGCTGTTTCCCACAATGCCCTGCTTTCTTAAGTAACCTAGGCGGCAAAAGAGGGGTAGGGTACGACTGCTGAGGGACAGAAGGAAACAGGATTCTGAGGGAAAAGGACAAATAGAAGCACATAATAAATGATTAAGTCTTGCAAGAACAGTTGCAAATGTTTTTTTTCTGGCATATACACTACTATTAAAAAATTTGGGGTCGGTATTTTTTTTTAATGTTCTGAAAGGTTCTTATGCTCAGCATGCAAGGCTGCATTTATTTAATCAAAAATACAGTAAAAACTGTAATATTGTGAAATATTATTACAATTTAAAATAACTTTTCTATTTTAATATATTTAATTTATTCCTGTGATGTAAAGCTGAATTTTCAGCAGCCATTACTCCAGACTTCAGTCACATGCTGAATAAAAACATTCATTTCTTAAAAAAAAAAAACTTTACTGACCCCAAACTTTTAAACAATGAGTTCCTAAAACGTTAAAATGTCCAGTTTTCTTGTTGTGATTAGAACATAATTTAAGGTTATGGTAATCTTAGTACAGCATTCTCTTAACCTTATTTTTACCTACAATATAACATTCTTTGAACAAGCAAATACAAACTTTTGTATTGTAAAATATCCAGAATGTGTATATTCAGTGAATTTTGTAGACACTCAAATGTCTGACATTTGTGTACAGTACGTACTGACCAGCATAAAAGGCCCTGAGGTCAGTTTGGAGGCAGTGCTCGAGGAAGCGTCTGAGAGGTTGGCTGTGTGATATGGGCTGATCCCATTCAGTCAGGAAGTCCTCGACCATGTGATGAACGGCACCGGGTCGCGGTAGTGGCCAACCAACTGGACGCTGTCTCATATCTTTCTCTATAGAAACATAAAGCACACTTATTTTAATATTCCAGTACATGGCTGTGGGACATCAACAGAAAGTCCAAAATATATTCTCAAAAACACTACAATCTCATACAATTCCACATATGTGAGAGGTCAACAAAACATGTTAGAGAAGCTCTTCACCTGTAGGTAGTGTGTTGTAGTAGTACAGGACAGGATGGAGGAAGTTGGACCTCCAGGCTTTGGTCCATTCTGACTCAGCCCGACCGGGCCCTAGAGTATCAGTCCGGTTCAGTCCATACTGCATGACCAAGACCAGAAAACCATGATCTGAGAGAGGCCGACCAGATAGAGCTGACAGCTGGGGCAGAGCCTGCAGGGGAAACTCCTCCAGATATTCACAGTAAGACCTGTGGAAAGAGGATTTAGACATTAATCACGGTAGCCATATTTAATTTGATACATAACTAAATCCCCTTCAATATGTCGTTAAAAACAGTTTTAACAATCCATGAGTTTTGTGTCCACTGGACGTTTGGAAAGACTTAAACTACTGTTGATTCAGGAAGACGCATTAAATTGATCAAAAGTGACAGTAAATTTATGATGTTACAAAAGATTTCTAATTTAAATAAATGCTGTTCTTTTGAACATTCTATTCATCAAATATTCCTGAAAGAAAATTTATCATGGTTTTCAAAAAAAAAAATATGAAGCAGCACAACTGTTTTTCAACAATGATAATAATAGTAAATGTTTCCTGATCATCGAATGATTTCTGAAGGATCATGTGACACTGAAGACTGGAGTAATGATGCTGAAAATTCAGCTTTGACATCACAGGAATAAATTACATTTTAAAACATATTACAATTACAGTTATTTTAAATAGTAATAATATTTCACAATATTACTGATTTTACTGTTATCAGCAATTACTACAGTAATTACTGTTGAGCAAAAGTTAAAATCTAAAATCCGAACCAATTCCAACATTTTGAACAGTAGGGTTCATTTAGTATTTCATCAGCTGAATGATTGACACCTAGCCTGGTTAAAACCAGACCATTCTCAGTTGTAACTTGTAACTGAGTTATGGTCTGGCAAAGCGTCATAGACAAATCATTTCCAGAGGGGCGTCACCAACGGACGTCGCGGATAGACCTAAAACCAATCAGAGCGATGAAGGAGATGACGTATGCAGAGCGGCGGAGAAACATCTCCGAGTGTTGTTCTTTGCTCGGTTTTTAACAAAAAGGAAACGTTCAAATCGCTTAAAACAGACGCAATAGCTGATTCGAACGAGTGATGTTCGACGGCGGCATCCATCTTTGTAATGTAAGCTACAAAATCTGCTTCAAAATCCCAGCGCTGTCGTCATCGTGTAAAGCCCGCCCCAACGTTTCTGATTGGTGCCTCGATTTCGACGGATTGGAAATGGGCTTGAATGAGCTCTTTGCCAGACTAACTTTCAGAGCAAATCTAAATTTGCCGGAAGTTGTCTGGGATTTCCCAGGCTAATTGACACCCAGATACGACATAACGTCTCTTGAAACATCTCTTACCCTCGCAGTAAAATAATGTCCCCAAGAACCGCAAACATTTGGTACGGTCCAGAGGCTTCGTTCACCCTCTTAAGAATCCAAGACTGCAGCTGACTGATGGGTAATGTTGTAGCAGGCCAGGCAATGTTATGGTAACGTTGCTCCAGGATTTTATGAACAGCACGCACTGTAGTAGCAAAACAGAGAAACTTTAAAGGGATACTCCACCGTTTTTTCATATTAAACTATGTTATTCTCTTATCTAAGACGAGTTGATACATACCTCTCTCGTCTCAGTGCGTGCACTCAATCGCTCTGTCGGGCGGAGAACTTTGAGAGCAGTTAGCTTAGCCCCATTCATTGTATATGGGCCAGACAGAGATGAAGTTAGAAGCGACCAAACACATCCACGTTTTCTCTATTTAAATATAGTTACACGAGTAGTTACTCGACCAAGTATGGTGACACTAAATAAAATGTGGCGCTTTTTATAAGCGGGTAAAATGGATAACTATAATGTATGGCGGAATAGCACTTATTGGGAGCACTTCGACTCGGCGCTGTAATATCTTCACTCGTGAAAAGTCCTCTCCCCCTCTCCCTCTCCCTCCCCCTCTCCGTCAATAGAACCAACGTGACCTGCACGCCTGCAGTAGTAGTAGTTTTTTGTGCAGAGTTGACGAAGTATCAGGGAGAGGGAGAGGGAGAGGGAGAGGGGGAGAGGACTTTTCACGAGTGAAGATATTACAGCGCCGAGTCGAAGTGCTCCCAATAAGTGCTATTCCGCCATACATTATAGTTATCCATTTTACCCGCTTATAAAAAGCGCCACATTTTATTTAGTGTCACCATACTTGGTCGAGTAACTACTCGTGTAACTATATTTAAATAGAGAAAACGTGGATGTGTTTGGTCGCTTCTAACTTCATCTCTGTCTGGCCCATATACAATGAATGGGGCTAAGCTAACTGCTCTCAAAGTTCTCCGCCCGACAGAGCGATTCAGTGCACGCACTGAGACGAGAGAGGTATGTATCAACTCGTCTTAGATAAGAGAATAACATAGTTTAATATGAAAAAACGGTGGAGTATCCCTTTAATATGACCTACATTCTTATGACGTGAAACGTTATGCTTAAGTGAGGTGTAATGCTTACCAGTGTAGCGGAACCCATGAACAAATCCACCAGCAGAAGATCGATAATCTCTGGAGTGGGCTGCCGTACCCAGGACAAACATGTTGGGCGTCCTTCTGCCTTCATACCAGGCTGTTACTCCAGGCAAGCGGCCTCGGGCACCGCTGCTTTGGGGCGGCCGCGCAGATCTGGATGAATAATGAAAATACTTTGTCAATCTGAAAATAATTCACAACATTCAAGAAACGTAATTGTTCAAA